TATTAGGAGGAGCAGGAGTGGGAGGAGCAGATTTAGGAGGAGGAGCAGGGGTATTAAGAGGAGCAGGAGGGGGAGGAGCAGATTTAGGAGGAGGAGCAGGAGTGGGAGGAGCAGATTTAGGAGGAGGAGCAGGAGTGGGAGGAGCAGATTTAGGAGGAGGAGCAGGAGTGGGAGGAGCAGATTTAGGAGGAGGAGCAGGTGTATTAAGAGGAGCAGGAGGGGGAGGAGCAGATTTAGGAGGAGGAGCAGGAGTGGGAGGAGCAGATTTAGGAGGAGGAGCAGGAGTGGGAGGAGCAGATTTAGGAGGAGGAGCAGGAGTGGGAGGAGCAGATTTAGGAGGAGGAGCAAGAGTGGGAGGAGCAGATTTAGGAGGAGGAGCAGGAGTGGGAGGAGCATATTTAGGAGGAGGAGCAGGTGTATTAAGAGGAGCAGGAGGAGGAGAAGCTATATTTTCAATGATGGCATCAGTTGCACCAGCTGCAGAAGCAGCACCATTAATAGGAGCAGCAGGAGGTGCAGCTCTCCTGGCAGCAGCAGCTTGTGCTGGACTGTATTTTTTGGCAAGAATATATCTCTCTAGAGAAAAAGATAATTAAAGGGGTCATATGATGCCATTTAAAATGTCCCTTTCTCTTTGGAGTGTTACAAGCTGTTCGTGAATAGATAAGATCCCTAAAGTTGCAAAGACTAAAGTCTCGAACCCAGAGAGATATTCTTTATCAAAGTTAAGAGATAACCACGCCTACCTAAAACGGCTCGTTCTAACACGCCCCCACATGTCTACGTCACTATGTGGGAAGATTTGCATAATGCCGCCCAAATGTTCACGCAAAGAAAGAAGGCATAACTTTTATTCTCGCTGTAGTATTGTTGACACTGCAGCCATGTCGTGAAGACGCTGTGTGCTTTGTTGTGAAAGCAAACTACTTTGTTTGGTCTTCCAAAAGAGGACACGACTAGAAATCAGTGGTTACGTTGTATTTACAACCCTGTTCCAGAA